ACTGGCCCGGAGGCTCCCAAGACGCCCCGAGAGGCCTTTAAGATGCCGCCCAAGAGCGCCCCGAGAGGGCAAAATCGTTGATTTTCATTTGTTTTTTTCAAACACCTATCGGTGGTTGAAAGTAGGTATCTTTGGATTCCCAGAGTCCAATCTGCTTTATCAGCGCCTTCCTACCTCAAGGATCCTGTTCCGTTCTCCGGAGGGGGCGGGCGGACACCCAACCTACTTTCAACGCCTTCCTACTTCATGTTTCTACCCACTTCTTCCGACCGGTGGGTTTACACACCCATATATATACATACATATGTGCATGTATGAATATGTGCATGTATATATATATATATATATATATATATGTATGTACGTATGTCTGTATGTATGTATGGATGTATGGATGTATGGATGTATGGATGTATGGATGTATGGATGTATGGATGTATGGATGTATGGATGTATGGATGTATGTATGTATGTATGTATGCATGTATGTATGCATGCATGCATGTATGTATGTATGTTTGTATGTATGCATGTATGTATGCATGCATGCATTTATGTATGTATGTATGCATGCATATGTATGTATGTATGCATGTATGTATACATGTATATATGTATGCATGTATGTATGCATGCATGCATGCATGCATGCATGTATGTATGTATGTATATATGTATGAATGTATGTATGTATGTGTGTATGCATGCATGCATGCATGCATGCATGCATGCATGTATGCATGCATGTATGTATGTATGTATGCATGTATGTATGTATGTATGTATGTATGTATGTATGTATGTATGTATGTATGTATATATATATATATAGTCGGCGGCGAGCGAGGGGGGTCAAATGAGAAGGAGAAGGCCCCCTCAGAAGGCGGCGGGACTTTCTGCGTCTGCGGGGAAGGCTGAGAACACTTTTCGGAAGGCCGGGGGACTTTCTGAGCCGTCTGAGAGGGCCCGCCCCTTCTCATTTCCCCCCCCGGCACCCCTCTCAATCTTATAGTAGTTGTATGATGTTATCTGTTGGGTTCGGACGTGCACCTCCAAGGGGGCGCAGAGTACACAGGTGCTTCCTTCCGCGTCCCAAGGGATGCAGGATCAAGGCTGCTGGACAGGGACCGAGGGTGGAGGACCTTGGGCGCCTCAGGGCCTCCTCGAGCCTCCCAGGGGCTTCTGGCCGCCATGGCTGGACCCGCCCCTGAGTTATGGTCGGACAGCGAGAGCCAGTTACCAGCCCTGGAACATACCCCTACCCCTATGCCGGGCACCTCCTCATCACGATGCCAATCTTAGGGGTTCCCTCAGCTTTTGAGGGCGAACCCCTACGATGGTCATCGCCTTTTGGCGTGTCAATCTCAGGGGTAGGGATACGTTCGAGGCCACTAAGCCAGGACAGACAGTCGAAGAAGAGATTATACGGCATAAATATAAATGTTCGGCGGTCCGCGCGGATTTCTTGGATCTGTGCTGGCGCGCTCCTCGCGCCAGGCAGGGGGGTCCAGCGCCGACCCGAGAAATCCGCGCGGTCTTGTTTCCCAAACAGTGCTTGCACTTCGGTGATCTTTTTCTTGTTCATTGTTTTGCCGATCGGCGCGGGCCCTCCTACCCCCTCCCGACCCCTATGGAGTAAATCTCGGCTGTTTTTGGCGCCTGTTTCACGCAGGTGGAGTCTCCCCCATAGGACGCACTGTGACAAACACTCGCACTAAGCAGAGGTCGAGAGCCAGACCCCCTCCCCTCCTCCTCTCCCCTTCCTCCCAAAGTCGAAACGCCGAATAAAAAAACGTTAACATACGGCAGGCTCGCGTCGTGTCGACCGGCGGCGACCCCGCCGCTGCCGTTCAACGTTGAACGCCGCCAGCGACCCAGGATCGGTCGACGTTGGACGATCTGACGTTTCGGTAACGGCCGATCGTTTCAGGTTGAACGGTCCCCGCGGTGTCTCAGAAGCCGGGCGAAGGCTGGCAAACCCGTGGCTGCTCAAATGGAGCTCCTGGAAATTGTTTTTTTCTTCGGGAAGCCGCCTGGTCACTACTTAGCGCGCTGAGCTTTATTCCGGGAATGTGTTTCTTTCTTCTGGGAAGACCGTTTCAGCAGCCACGGATTTGCCAGCCCTCGCCCAGCTTCCGAATGTCAGGATTAGGTCGGGCGTGTCCCCCTACAGGCGGATGTTGAGCGAAAAGTGACAGATAATCCAAAAATACCCCAAACGAGTCAAACAATAAGAAAACATCGTCCCCAGACTATTGTTTTACTATCTTGGAATAGTCCTCCTGTAGAGGGACAGGCCCGACTTGGTGTCAGGAGCTAACGCTGGGGTCCAGCAACCCTCGCCCAGCTCCCCATCCTTGCCCCCGAGTGGGGCGGCAGGGCGGGTCTTGGGCCGGGGATCGAGGCGCCCGTGCAGTCTCGACCCCTCCCTGAGACTGTGGAGGCCACCTTCGGGGCGTGTCGCGGGAAGGAGAAGGAGGAGGAGGAGGAGGAGGAGGAGGAGGAGGAGGAGGAGGAGGAGATGTTGGTCGAAGCTTGGAGAAACCAGCGCTGGCTCCGCCCGCTCGGGAGGGGAGCCCAGCGTCTCGCAGGCCTAGAGGTTGACACCAACACCAGGATCGGCGGTGTGCCTCCACCGAGGGAGGACGATCCCGATCTCGGTGATGGTGGTGATATTCTGGCTTCCAAGGTGACCGAAATACTGCCACCAACACCGAAATCTAGGATCGTCTTCCCCATGTAGATGCAAACCCCTGTGCTAGCGTTGGTGCCACTTTCCAGGCCTCCTAGCGTCGGTTCACCGAGCGCGTTCCGCTATCCGCAAAGTGACCACTCGCAAACGTTCGAAACAAACACATGTTCGCCTCGATGCAGTGGATCGTAAGTCCTACGCGGCGGAAACAGGCCATCTTCGAGGAGCTACTTTGCGAGTGGTGGAACGCGCTCGTCTATCGGTTGAAGAGGCCCGCGAGGGCCTCCGCAAGTTGTGCTCGTGCCTTGCTTTGCCGCTCCAGTTGGGCTGGCCAGTGTGACTCACCGAGCGCGTTCCGCTGCTCGCAAAGTGTCGACTCGCAAACGTCCAGGAAAAAACAACAACATGTTTCCCTCTATGTGCTGGAACGTACATACATCCTACGCGGCGGATTCAGGCCATTTGCGAGTAGCTACTTTGCGAGTGGTGAAACGCGCACGTCTATCGTTAAGTCGGGTCTGTCCCTCTACAGGAGGAATATTCAAAATGGTAGTAAAAAACAGTCAGGGGACGTTTTTTTTACTACTTTGATATGTTTTTTGAATATATTTTGTTTGGGCATTCAAAAGTTTTCGTCCAGAATCCGCCTGTAGGGGGACATGCCCGACATAAGCATATCGATTGAAGAGGCCCGCGTGGGCTTCCGCAAGTTGTTCAGGCGATCGCAAACATGGATTAAGGGGGCGTGGATCAGCGACGGGTCCCGTTTCCATGGGACATCGTGGACTTCCGCCACCGCACGGGGCGGCACCCTCGCATTTTGCGGAGAGCACCTCGCCCGATCCATGGATCCGGCGACCGCGCGCCAGATCCATGGATGGGGGGCCACATGCGAACCCTACCCCTACCCCCACGATTTCTGAGGGGGAGGGTGGGGTTCACACTTCGTTCGGGGGCTCCCGAGCGAAGTGAACCCCACCCTCTTCCCGCAGAAATCGTGGGGGGTAGGGGTAGGGTTCGCCTGTGGCCCCCTAAGTGGATCGCCAATCCACGTCTGCGCGCCCCCGAGCTGTGCTCGCCCCGTGCTCTGCCGCTCCAGTCGGTGCTGGCCAGCGCGACGGAGAGAGCGGGGCTGCTCCCGCAGAGCGTGCCCCGCGCCCATGTCACCCCCCTCGGCCAGCAGGGCGTAGAGTTAGATCGGGCCTGTCCCTCTACAGTGGGGAGATCCAAGCATAGTCAACACATAGTCTGGGGGCGATGGTTTCACTATGTTTGGCCATGTTTGAATATTGTTGGGCTATGTTTCAATTTGTCGTCCCAAATCCGCCTCGTGCGAGTACAGTGGAGGCCCATGCCAAGAAGCACGCTGCCTGCCTCCAGGGTGCCCTCGGTTCCCTGGGCTTCGATGGCTCTGCTGTGGACAGCGCGACGTTCCAACACCAAGCATCGGTGGGCGTCCTGGGGTCTCGGGGTTGGGTTTCTCGTGGAAGGTTTCTGTGAAGACGACTGGTCTCTGCAGGCGGGGCAGCTCCTCAAGCTGGCTCTGAGTGTACCTTGGCATCGCCAGGACGTGTGCATGTTTCTTCGACCGGGACCGTCGAGGAGCATTCCGGATCATCGCGCAAAAGCCACGCACGAAACCGAAGAGTGCGCCGAGAAGGAACATCCGAGCGATGGCAAGGTACGCTATCCCAGGCCAGCTTGCCCTTCCATTGCCGGCCGGCCCCATCTCCGAAAGCAGCCGACAAGCGCTGGGCTGGCCAGCGCGTCAGAGGGCGACTGTTTTTGCAGAGCGGACCCTGGAAGAGGAGGAGGAGGAGGAGGAGGAGGAGGAGGAGGAGGAGGAGGAGCAGGAGGAGAAGGCGATTGGTCTCTGCAGAAGGGGCAGTTCCTTCCCCCGCGCCCTCCGCGCCCGCTGCTCTCGCCCGTCCGCGCGCCTCCCCATTCGCCCATCCACCCATCTAGGGGGCCACATGCGAACCCTACCCCTACCCCCCACGATTTCTGAGGAGAAGGATGGGGTTCACTTCGTTCGGGAGCCCCCGAGCGAAGTGAACCCCACCCTCCCCCTCAGAAATCGTGGGAGGTAGGGGTAGGGTTCGCATGTGGCCCCCTACCCATCCCTCGTCCCTCCATCCAGCATTTCCCTCTCCTCCCCTCCCACTCCCACTCCCATGCCATCATCCCCCTCTGGGTCTCCCGGACCTGTCTCTCCGGAGGCAGGCCAACCCACGCTCCATGCTCCCACCCTATCATCCCATGTGGGTTTCCTTCTCCCCTCCCGCTGGGCCGAGCTTGAACGGCGCAGGCGTTGGCTACGGCGTCGGGAGCTGGATCGCCGACAAGTACTACGCGGAGCAGCCCTTCCTATTCACATCCTCGCTAGTTTTTCTCCCATCCTACCGCGCCCTGTCAGTTCCCACTATCTATTTCTTTCTCTCTCTCTCTCTCTTTGTCTCTGTCTCTCACTCTCTTTCTCTCTCTCTCTCTCTCTCTCTCTCTTCGTGCTTTTCCGCACTCCGTTCCTCGTTGCCCTTTCCCCCCTCGACCGCTCATCCCATCCCTCCCTGCCTCCGTCCCTGTCTCTTAGACTCCTTCTTGCCATCCCTCCCCAGGTTGGTCGTTCAGCTCGCGCTTGCCGCCCAGCCAACCGTGCTTTTGATGCAGTGGGCGCGCGGGCACGCACGACGTGCTTCGCTTGTGGGTCTCATACGCTCCGAGATGTTGCAGCGACTGGCTGCTCTGTTCCCTTTCTCAAGGGGAGACGGCACAGTGCCCTGTTCAGCCCCGCAGGCCTGACCGCTGGGGCTTATCTCGGAGGGCATCAACTATTCACATACACCGATTCTGGCCAGGCCGATCGGGGGCCCAACCTTGCTTTCATGCCTTCCTTTCCAAGGCAGGGAGGCGTACAGTCAACCCGCATAGTAAGGATGGGCAACCTTCCCGAGGGTACCCTTGCATCCTCGCCTCCTCGGTCCATCCTTGGCCACTTTCGCATGCCGCGCCCCGCTCGCAAGGTGTCGACAAGGCCTTCCACAGCCCTTGCATCCTTACCGCGCATCCTTATGATACGGGCCAACCAAATGCACCAGTTGTGGGTTCAGGATGAGCCCAGCCATTACAGGTGAAGATGTATAGTTTGAGTCCTCCCACTAGCAAAAAGGAAAGCGGGCTTATGCGCTTCTGGCCAGGCCGATACAGGTCCCAATCTTGGTGTATGTGGTTTCCTGCCCAAGCCAGGAAGGCGTATGCACCTGCCCTGGGCACAACTCCTCCTCCTCCTCCTCGTCCTCCTCCCCCTCCTCCTCCTCCTCCTCCTCCTCCTCCTCCTCCCCCTCCCCCTCCTCCTCCTTCTCCGAAGCATCACAACCTGGGGCCCCCCCTCGTCCACGTCGCAGTTGCTACGATACAGGAGATGCGCAACAACGCCCACTCCTGCCTGGAGAAGGAAGGCTACCAGAGGGAGATCCAGTGGAGCATGCAGACCCTCAACCAGTGGCTGCGCCTGGCATTTCACGAGAAGGGGAGAGAGTTCATTCAGGAGACTATAAAAATGTTCAAGATCACGGAGGCGTACAAACCAAAGGGCCAGGAGGACGACGGGAACAGCAAGGTGAAGCTGCAGTATTGCATAAACCCGATGCCGTGCATCCACCTGGCGATGGGGGAAGAATACATCAAGTACAAGCCAGACGACGGGGACGAGGCCATGCTGACGGAGGACGAGGACAAGGACGAGATCAACGAGTACAGCCCGAACTACATGCGCCAGGCAATGGGCTACATCTTGAAATGATGGGAGGGCAGTGCGGACAGTCAGTAGGACCGAAGACGGACCTGGAGCGCACGGTCGAGAAGCAGCTCCAGAGCAGGCAATAGCTAGCAGTAGTAGTACCAGCCTGCCCGAGGCCACGCCTGCGCCAGTCTCGCCCTCTGCTAAGGGATCAGATTCGTTGCCGTGCACCCCAGCGCAGCTTGCAGAGAGACCACAAGTAGCCGCACCCCTGGAGGAGACTCTTCAAATCACAAGGGACAAAACACTAGCTAAGGAGATCAGCCAGGACCCCTCCAGGATGGACAAGCTAAGAAAGTTAGCAGAAACAAGCGACAAAAACCAGCCCAAGGAGCTGTACCAGCTAGCATTACAATACAGACGAGAACGACAAAAAGAGTTGAAGTACGAAGCCGAAGGTCGAGGAGGCAGAGGAGGACGGAATAGTGGAAGAGGAGGCAACGTACAAAACAAATAGCAGTACGACGGGCCACAGACGTTTCACCAGAGGGGGGGTACTTACCACTGTGTTTATGTTTTGTGACTACTACATACATGGGAGAAGACAGCACCTACCTACAGAGGAAATGCGACGACAGGATGGGGATGGGGAGGCGCTTTGCAGGGAGGGGGGTTGCTGCAATAGAGATTGAAGGAGGAGGAGAAGGACAGAAGGATACATTGCAATAGAGATGCAGAACGGGGAGAAGGGACTGCTGCCATTGGTATTACACACAACTGGACAGTGCGATTGTGCAGGTTCCAACGTCGGTGCGCATCTGTTTTTCCGTAATTGCAGCGCCATTGTTGTTTCACTGACAATAAAGGGGCCCCGAGGAATTAAGTAGGACTCCAGAGCCCCTAGCCCCATCGTCCGATTACTACACCCGACAACGGAACAGCTGGAACGACACTGGGGGATACGCTGTGGTATGTACAAAGGGAGGGGCTCCTCCGTAGCACATCTGGCTTAGCAAGAGCACAGAGAGTGGGAACGCCGCGGACGGTACCACCACCAACGGAGGCAGTGCGAACGATGCCAGAGTCTCTGCCGAAGGTGCCAGAGGTGCCAGAGTATCGCGGAGATGCCGAAGACCCAGAGATTGGCGACTTCAACTACGTGCTGATACTGCAGGAGAAGAACATCAAGCAGTGCCAAAAAATGATGAAAGACGTGAAGAAGAAGTACGAGACGCAGATCGACTACCTGACGGTACAGAAGAGGAAGCTCAACAGTATCTTGCCCAGGTCGCAGATGCTAAACACGAGGAACACCGTGGAGGCCATCATGATCGGGGAGAACATGCAGACGATCACGGACCAGCTCAAAGGCATCGAGGAAGCGCTGACCGCCACGCTCCAGGCGCACGCCAGCTTACAGTTCCGAAGCGAGCCCCCACCCAAGTACCCATCGAGCAAGGAGTATATGAAGAAGCAGGTGGACGATATCAATCACCTAGAGGACCAGGTCACGCCGATCCGCACGCAGCGCGCCATGGAGCTCGCCAAGATCACGTTGTCACCCCCGTGGGACGCGGGCGACCCGAGCACGTGGGTGTTCCATGGCTGGACGCCTCCAGCAGAGGGCATTCCAGCGTGGGACAAAGACGACCCGAGCACGTGGGTGTTCTACGGGTGGAAGGAGAAGCGCCCATGGGTGAACCATCAGAAGGGGCAGGGTAGTGGTGAGAGCGAGAGCAAGGTGAACGCGGAGGAAGTCCCGATCACTGTGAATGCGGAGGAAGTCCCGATCATTTCAGACGGTGAGGGGGAGATCTGACCTGAACAGGAGGTTGAGAGATCGAGGCAAGCACCACCAGCTTACAAAGCATGCCAGTGAAGTTTTTATCGACAGAAGCTGGTGCTGCGCAGACGTGAGTATCCCACGCAGGACCAGAGGACCTGGGAAAAAAGAAAAAAACGACGGTTCAGTTGGTTCAGATGTGATGCGAGGACTATACTCGAGGGGGGGGGACCCGTAGCGCCCAATTGGGTGGGCACGATCCCTTAAAGGCGACGGAGCGTGCCCCCCTCGAGTCTTGCACGTATGTGTGTGTCTTCAGATACGGGTCCCACCGACGGTCGGATGCAGGGGAACAGAAGGCAGCGCCCACGACCACCCATCCCAGCCCCAGATCTGAGTAGGAGTTTTTTTTTTTTTTTTTTTTTTTTTTTTTTTTTTGTTTTAGAACCCGTCTGAGTGGAGAGAGTGGGGAAGGAGGGGGAGTGGGAGGGGGAGCCGCGCGCGCGGCGCCCCGCCGCGCTGGGCTACGTGGGCTACGCAGGCGCGCCCCGCTGGCGCCGCCCCCCTCCCCCCCTCGCCTCTCCTTCTTGTGTGTGTGTGTGTGTGTGTGTGTGTGTGTGTGTGTGTGTGTGGTGTGAGTGGTGTGTGCGTGTGTGTGTGCGGTTCCCCCCCTCTTCTCACCGAGTGTGTCACCCCTTGCCCTGGGGCTCGGGGCACGGCTCTCGTGATGAGCCGTGCCCTAACCCCCCAGCTGTCGAGTGAGGGAGGCACCCAGCTCCCTGCGCGAGGCCCACCCCCACGATTATGTTCCTGGGGAGTGCGCCTCAGGCAGGCCTAGGCGACCAAGAAATGGGTCCCAGGCCCATGCATCCATATTCATCGCAGGGATACTACTAGAGCTCGCTGCCGCTGCCGCTGTAGCCGTTCTGACTCATCCCCGAAGCGCCTTTGCCTTTTTTTTCTCCCCCTTGCCACCTCCTCCCCCGAACGGCAGTTTTCCGAGCGGGCGGCTTCCAGGGCTTGCGTCGAGGGGCGCCGACTCGGCCGAGTCTGCCTGCCGCCCGCGCGCGGCCGGCCCATGACCTTGCAGTGCCAGTGGGGCGCCCCTCGCTTGAGTCCAGCTCAAATCGAAGCAGCTCTCCTTCGCCCCATCCAGCCTCCCTGCCCCCCCTCCTCCCAGCTGCATCCTCCTGCTGCTCCTCCTCCTTCTCTTCTTCCTCCTCCTCGTCCTCCTCCTCCTCCTCCTCCTTCTCTTCCTCCTCCTCCTCCTCCTCCTCCTCCTCCTCCTTCTCCTCCTCCCGTCATTCTCCGTCCTCCCCGCCCCTTCCCCCCCTCGCTCGAAGCAGTCCGCCTTCCCCACCCCTGCTCTTCCCCTCCCTGTTGCCTCCCCCGCCAGAGGAGCAGGACAAGAAGGCGGGGCGCAGCCCACAGGAGGCCTTCGCGAAGATGAGCCCCGCTCTGCAGGCGCGCGGGGTGAGCGCCGCGCCGCGGCCCCCCTCGAGCCTCGAGACCAGGGCGTTGCACTTCTTTTTGCACTGGGCGTTTTCGCTTGGTTTCCGCCCCAAGACCATCACATGTCGATCTGGTTCGAAACAAGCCAGCAAGATGGGGTCTAGGGCTCCAGCGGGGATTATTCGCGATGTTGCATTAATTCGCAGTGTCGTATCTCAGGGGAGGAGTGAGTGAGGAGGGAGGAAGACGAGGGAAGAGGAGAGATGAGGAACGAGGAGGGAGGCAGGGAGGAGGGAGGGAGGAGGGGGATGAGGGAGGAAAGCGGGGGAGGAGTGAGGAGGGAGGAGGACGAGGGAGGAAACGGAGGCGGAGGCGGAGGCGGAG